AATTTGAATTGGTTTTATATGTAGAGGAATACAAGGAAATACTAAATATTTTCATTTATTTTTCCCCCTGTGATTGTATCATGACTTGCAAGTGTTTACATAAATATAGCAAATGTGTAGCTGTCTTTCTTTTTGTCGCTGACCTGTAGTGGGAAAAAGGTCACACTACTTCCCTCTGGAGGCAGGAAACTCAGCGAAACCCCACAGGAGAGTGATAAAAAATGTGCAGTCATTCTGGGCAGAGGGGCCAGTGTAGGGGAGGCCAGAGGGCCTGATCCTGGTGAAAGAACCCCACACTCAGTCATGTCACAGTGTTGTAACCGAACGAGTTATAGAGAAAGTGCCACACTCTGAGATTGAATCGGGAGTCCTTTTATTGCCGGCAACCGAGAGACAGCTAATGCTCAAAATTCTCCCGGCCCTGAAGAAGGGGCTTGATTTCTTTTTATACCTTGTGTATGACGTGGGAGGGGGAGTCTAGCTGAAGCAAAATGTCACAGAAGCAGAACAAGCAGGTTAGAGAGGAAAGCTGGTAACCAGCAGGCAGGAGCATTCCCATAATTGTTGGTTACCAAAGAGGGTATTCAGATACTTCCCATACAATCACCGAGGGGGTGTTATTCACAATAGCGGGTGGACTTGCCAAGCCCAGATGCAGTTACAGTGGTTACAGGTACTGAGAACAGCATGAGCCAAACCTGGACCCAAACTGAACGGTTCCAAGCTCTGAGCACAGCGTGACCTGAGGGGCTGTGGCAGGGAGGGAGAGCTAGAGAAAGCTTGTCAGGCTTGCAGCTAAGATGCAGTCAGTTAGGCTAGCACAACGGGGCAGGTCTTCTGCCCTGGCCCCCAGAACCCCACCTCCCCAGGACCCAGGCTCCCTGTCCCCTGGGCCTCTACTCACAGCTTTGCCCTGTGGGTCCTGGCGAGGGGGCCCTGTGGGTTCTGGGGAGGGGACTGGACACAGCCCCATGACACTGCTGAGAGCTGGGCTGGGAACTGGCAGCCTGTGGTCCTCTGGGCTGTAGGGGGTCAGGGCCCCATAGTGGTGGCAGAGCAAGGACCTCAGTACAGAGCAGCACGGACTCCAGACCCCAGAGCGGCCTCCATTCTGGTCCCAGGGTGACCCGGGCTGTGCATCCCAGCACCTGCCCAGGGTCCCTCTGCTCTGGTCTGTCCCTCAATAGTCTGAACCCCTGCTGGGCACCTGCCTTGTCCCCCCTTACAGGGGACCAGGGTGAATCTCAGGCAACACCTGCACCTGTGAAGAAGGCCATTCTCCCTGCACCCATCCCTGCCGCCCACATGGAGAACCAGCTCCTTCCTGTCCCTGGGGACGTTTCCTGGGCTCTAGCAGAAACTCTAGCAGGATGTGGGGTCATTCATTTTCACTCAGTGTTGCAGGGGCCAAAATAGGGGTGGGGCTGTCACTCCCCAGGAGATAACGCTTGTAGATGATGCTGATAAAACACTGGGTATCCCAGAGATGCTTTTAAGTATACCTGTCACGTGCACCTAAAAGCGTCTCCAGATGCACAGTGTTGTATCAGCGTTATCTACAAGCATTTTACAGTGAAGTGCTTTTCTTTCTTTCTTTTTTTTTAGGATGGAGTCTTGCTCTGTCACTTAGGCTAGAGTAATGTTGTGATCTTGGCTCACTGCAACCTCTGCCTCCCAGGTTCAAGGGATTCTCCTGCCTCAGCCTCTCGAGTAGCTAGGATTGTAGGTGTGCGCCACCATGCCCGGCTAATTTTTGTAGTTTCAGTAAAGATGGGGTTTCACCACTTTTGTCCAGGCTGATCTCAAACTCCTGACCTCAAGCAATCCGCCTGCCTGGCCTCCCAAAGTGCTTGGATTACAGGCACGAGCCTCCATGGCCTGGCTATGAGTACTAGTTTTAGATCTGATCCTAGACCCCAGGCTGTGTCTGTCATGAGCAATCATGATGAACTTTTTTGTTTTTTGTTTTTTTTTTGAGACGGAATCTGGCTCTGTCGCCAGGCTGGAGTGCAGTGGTGTGATCTCAGCTCACTGCAATCTCCGCCTCCCGGGTTCAAGTGATTCTCCTGCCTCAACCTCCCGAGGTGCTGGGACTACAGGTGGGCGCCACCACACCCAGCTAATTTTTGTATTTTTAGTAGAGACACGGTTTCACCATGTTGGCCAGGATGGTCTCAATCTCTTGACCTAGTGATCTACCTGCCTTGGCCTCCCAAAGTGCTGGGATTACAGATGTGAGCCACCGCGCCCGGCCTAATCATGATGTAATTTTGCTGCATTGTGCTCAGGGAAAAGGGATAATTTTTTTGCCGGACATTTTGCCACCCACTCCACCCCACTTAGCAAACAAAACAAACCCCTCAGGATCCCAGCATGGAGGGCACGGCAGTCTAACGGTTGGACAGACTGGCAGAGGCAGCACGGAGCTGTTCCTGGAAAAGTCCAAAGGAATGAGATCAGGATTCTGGTCAGTTCCTGGTGAATATCATCCCCCTACCCTACCCTCCCTCAGAACAAACATAGATTTTCCAAATCTACCACTTTTGTCTTTCAAATGTTCTTTTTCTTTTTTTGGGGGCGGACAGATTCTTGCTCTGCTGCCCAGTGGCACGACCTTGACTCACTGCAACCTCCACCTCCCAGGTTCAAGCAATTCTCTACCTCAGCCTCCCGAGTAGCTCGGATTACAGGTGTGTGCCACCACATCCGGCTAATTTTTTTTGCATTTTGTAGTGGAGATGGGGTTTCACCATGTTGATCAGGCTGGTCTTGAACCCCTGACCTCGTGATCCACCCACCTCAATCTCCCAAAGTGCTGGGATTACAGGCGTGAGCCACTGCACCCGGCTGTCTTTCAAATTTTCTACCCATGGGAGACTGAACGATCATCTAGAGATCGCTGGGAAAGTTGTTGCTTCATTAAGATGCTGGTGTGTTCCAGGGAGCTGGCCAGGGTGCAGTGAGCATGTGGCCCAGTTCCCTGGGTGGTAGACTGAGATGGAGGTGGGGGTGGTCCAGGGCCTGCCAGGAACAGGGCTGGGGGAGATGGCCTGGCATAGGCCCATGCCCACACACGAAGCAATAATGCCCACCATCAGGTCTGCCCTGTGCCAATCAGAAAACCCTGGGCAGAGACTGTGACCCTCTGTGTCACTTTGGGGCGGGCAGTGATGGCTCCACACACTTCTGTGGGGACCTGGAGAGTAGGAACCAGAGCACTGGTACGTGGGCAGGCGAGCCTGGGTCTAAGAGCCCACTGTGCCTGCCATTGTCGGGTCCCTGGGCACATCGCCTCCCCTGAAACCTCTCTTTACTCATCTGTAAAGTGGGGGTAATGATACCTCCCTCTCAACTTTGCACTTGGAGGGCAGTGGGGGCTGGATTTTGGAAAGACCTGGCCGCAGCAGGCATTGGGCCAATCTGAGTCTCCTCCTCCCCCTGGGTCAAGCTTCCTGATGTCACAGCAGCCTCCCTGCACCCAAGGTCGGCTCCAGCCCCTCCACCCAGGAAGCCCTCGGAGAGCTGATGCCACTGGCAGCACTGTGGTTTTGGCACCTGCCGGCTCAGGATGGGGGGCCATAGAAGGCTCTTGCTGCCCCTCAGGGTCTGTACCTCTGCCTCCCTCCAGGGTGGGGCCCTGTCCTCTTCCCACTCCCTTCTCCAGCCCTCACCACCGCGGGCAAGCACTGCTTCCCAGAGAGCCATCTGGGCCAGGTATAAAATGGCCTCTGTGGTCAAAGCCTGAAAGCATTGCCCCCAAGCCTGCCTAATGGTACACAGCGTTTTCTGGGGGAACGAGGGGGAGGTGGGCAAGAGTCTGGCACCTTTTCTGAGTCACATCCCTTCTAACAGGGCCCTGAGTCTGCAGGACGGAAGGATGTGGCCTTGCCTGTCACAGGGTTCTGCGAACCCAGAAGGTGCCTGAGTCCTCCAGGGCATCCTGAGTGGGAGGGTGGCCCTGAGCAGAGAGGAACGTAAAGGCCAAGACACAACCCTTGAGAGGTCTATGTCAGCAGCGAGCCTGTTTGCCTGTAGACATCCGTCTCCCCTCCTATTTATTTATGTATTTTTTTGAGACAGGGTCTTGCTCTGTCACTCAGGCTGGAGTGCAGTGGCAAGATCACAGCTTGCTGCAGCCTCAACCTCCCAGACTTAAGTGATCCTCCCACCTCAGTCTCCCAAGTAGCTGGGACTACAGGCATGCTACACCCAGCTAATTTCTCTCTCTCTCTCTCTCTGTGTGTGTGTGTGTGTGTGTGTGCGCGCGCGCGTGTGTTTTAGTAAGGATGGGGTTTTTCTATGTTGCTCAGGTTGGTCTTAAATTTCTAGGCTCAGGCGATCCTCCTGCCTCAGCCTCCCAACGTACCGGGATCGCAGGTGTGAGCCACTGCCACAGGCCTCTTCTTTCCTCGACATTGCAGTGAGAAATGGCAAAAGTAGTCAGTCTCACAGATGTCCTGATCTGCAATGCGCTGCCTCCTGACAAGTGCTACCAAATTGCCTGGTTCATATCCTGGAGCCCCACTTGGACTGTGCATTGAGAGTGGCCGAGTTACTGGCCAAGCAAAACCAAGTGAGGCTGAGCATCTTCACTGCTCACCTCCACCACAACTGTGAGCCACCATGATTCCAACATGGGCTTTGCAGACTGCATGACAAAGGGGCATGTGTGCAGATCACATCTTCTAAGGATGAGAGGACCTGGCATGGTGGCTCACGCTGATAATCCCAGCACTACGGGAGGCTGAGATGGGCGGATCACCTGAGGTCGAGAGTTCAAGACCAGCCTGACCAACATGGAGAAACCCCTGTCTCTACTAAAAATACAAAATTAGCCAGGCATGGTGGCACATGCCTGTAATCCCAGCTACTGGGGAGGCTGAGGATGCCGAGGCAGGAGAATCACTTGAATCTGGGAGACAGAAGTTTCAGTGAGCTGAGATCATGCCATTGCACTCCAGCCTGGGCAACAAGAGCAAAACTTCATCTCAAAAAAAAAAAACAAAAAAACAGAAGTGTGAGAGGTTAGGGCCTGAGGGGTGTATTGGAGGGAGGGACAGCATGAGAGGGGCAGGGGAGTCTGGGATGCCATTGGGACAATGTCTCAGGGGAGCCTGCAGGGACTGAGCCAGCACGGACAGCCATGAGATCACTTCTTGGAGGGGTGGGCCCAGGGTCAGGGGAGAGAGGTCTGTTGGGCCTGATTGCCTTCTTCCCTCTTTTATCTCAGAATTTGAATGTGGTTGGGAAGAGGGTGTACAAAAGAGATGAGCCACGTCAGCCTCGCATGACACTGCATGAAAGCTACCCATCTCTGGTCCCCAAGCTGAAGGGTAGCCTCGCAGCTGATCCCCTCGCTCCTCTTGGCTCCTGCTCAGCCTCCTCATGCCTTCCCTCTGTCCTGTACCAGATTCACCCCTGCCTGGGCCTTCTGAGCTGCTCCTGCCCTAAGTACCGCCCCTCAGTGCCCAACACCGCTGCCTCCTCCACACTTCCCCAACCTGCCAGTGAGAGGCTGTTTCTGCCTCCAGAGCAACCTCCATCCGACACCCCCAGACTCCTTCCTCCCATCCTGGGGCCCACTAGCCTGGCTCCTTCCATCTCCCCAACATACCTGAATCTTGTCATTGAACTGAATATAAATGAGTAGTAGAAATATACATAAGTGTGAAAGTTAAGTTTTGAGAAACATCTTTTGTAAGAACTGATGCTAAGCATTAGGTCATTCTTGTCATGCCCAACTAAAACAGAGGCCAGGAGCCAATAGGGGAAAGCACTTAGGCTACAGAATATTGCTTCCACGAGCCTGATGGCTGAAACTGCTCATCCTGTACCCTGAAACCAGCTTCACCTACAACTTCTGAGATAAATTGCTGCAACTCTTGAGCTCACGATGCCTACTACAGTGGCTCATCAATGGAACCTGCCAGCTCCAACCCTTCCTAGGGCGCATGAACTTTCTGAAAGAGGAACAGAAATATTTCTCCTTGTTATAAAATCTTTAACCTTCCCTTTGTTCCTTATGTACATGCTGAATTGCAATTCTTCTTCCCAAATTGTTGGAAATAGATGATTGGTGCTGCAAAGAAAAACGAGCACAAGCCGGGCGCGGTGGCTCAAGCCTGTAATCCCAGCACTTTGGGAGGCCGAGGCGGGTGGATCACGAGGTCAAGAGATCGAGACCATCCTGGTCAACATGGTGAAACCCCGACTCTACTAAAATTACAAAAATTAGCTGGGCATGGTGGCGTGTGCCTGTAATCCCAGCTGCTCAGGAGGCTGAGGCAGGAGAATTGCCTGAACCCAGGAGGCGGAGGTTGCGGTGAGCCGAGATCGCGCCATTGCACTCCAGCCTGGGTAACAAGAGCGAAACTCCGTCTCCAAAAAAAAAAAAAAAAAAGAAAAACGAGCACTGAGACAAAGGAATTTTTAGCAATGCAATTTTACTTCCTGGACTGCAGAAAGGGTACACTCACTAGCCATCTTGCCACGAGAGTACAATGAACAAAGGAAAACATACAATTTTTTTTTAAGCGTTTGGGGTCATTCTTACGGCTGCGTCTGATCTCCATTGGCTGGAGCCAGACCTCACAATCTAAACTAAAACCCAGTTGGCTAATAACTTAAAACTTTTTCAGACAGGTAAAAGCAATGGAGAGCTGGGACATGGCTGTGAACAAGCACATCCAGTACAGATATCTTGGTTAAAGTACAAGGTCGTAGAATGTACTATGTGCCTGTAAGCATGGCATGTCTAACAGCTACATACGATAGGGTTTAACAAAGAGTTATTAGCACACTTATTTTTTAACAAGAAAAGAAACTAAAAGTGAACTTTTCTACTTCCCACAGAAATAAAATAAATTTAGAGATTCCCCTCCACAGTTTTGACTTTGACATACATGGTGTCAGAAGTGGGATCCTCCAGAGGAATCACCAGCCCACCAAACTATGGTGGGAGGTAACCACACTGGTAACCTCTTCAGCCCCTGGGAGATCTTTCTTGGACAAAACTCCAGAATTGGGTTTGCATTCTGTTTTATTTGGGATAAGGTTGGGGAGGGGTCTTTCCCCCTTCTGTTTGGGAGATTTCCTGTTAGGAGGGTTTGTTTTGTTTTGTTTTTGTTTTTGACAGAGTCTTACCCAGTCACCAAGGCTGGAGTACAGTGGTGTGATCTCAGCTCACTGTAACCTCTGCCTCCTGGGTTCAAGTAATTCTCCTGACTCAGCCTCCTGAGTAGCTGGGATTACAGGCACCCGCCATCATGCCTGGCTAATTTTTATATTTTTAGTAGAGACAGGGTTTCACCATATTGGCCAGGCTGGTCTTGAACTCCTGACCTTGTGATCCACCAGCCTCAGCCTCCCAAAGTGCAGAGCCACCACACTCAGCCTAGGAGGGCTATTTTCCTCCTGTTGACCTGGGCTGTGAGGTTTGCACCTCGACAAGTTTAAAAAAGGTGATTTCACCCTCATTTGGAGAAAGCGATCATCCTCCCTGGTAAGCACGTACTTTACTTCCCATCAGTGCTTGCATTTATTGTGCCTTTGTGTATTTGATGTCAAACTAAATTACCTAGATCAGGCTGAAGTGCAGTGGCTCAGTCTTGGCTCACTACAACCTCTGCCTCCCAGGTTCAAGCAACTCTCCTGCCTCAGCCTCTCGAGTAGTTGGGATTACAGCACCTGCCACCATTCCCAGCTAATGTTTGCATTTTATTAGAGATGAGGTTTCACCATGTTGGCCAGGCTGGTCTCAAACTCCTGACCTCAGGTGATCCACCCACCTCGGCCTCCCACAGTGCTGGGATTACAGGCATGAGTCACCAGGCCTGGCCCTGGATAACTTTCTTTCTATCAACAAAGTAGGCCGGGCGTGGTGGCTCACGCCTGTAATCCAAGCACTTTGGAGGCCAAGGCGGGTGGATCACCTGAGGTCAGGAGTTCAAGACCAGCCTGACCAACATGGTGAAACCCCGTCTTTATTAAAAAAAAAAATATATATATATATATATATATAAACAAAGTAATAAATCTTGTCACACTGTCAGCTCGCCCTCATGTAGACATAGCTTAGCTTTTACATAGGTAAGTCTCCAATATAAGAAAGGCCAGGCATGGTGGATGAAGTCATCGGGGTGGTTCCTAATCCAATATGTCTGATGTCCTTATAAAGGGTAGATTTAGGCTGGGTGCAGTGGCTCACACCTGTAATCCTAGCACTTTGGGAGGCCGAGGCAGGCAGATCACGAGGTCAAGAGATCGAGACCATCATGGCCAACAAGGTGAAATGCCGTCTCTACTAAAAATGCAAAAATTAGCCAGGCATGGTGGCGTGTGCCTGTAGTCCTAGCTGCTCGGGAGGCTGAGGCAGGAGAATTGCTTGAACCTGGAAGGCAGAGGTTGCAGTGAGCCAAGATCATGCCATTGCATTCTAGCCTGGGTGACAAAGTGAGACACTGTCTCAAAAAAAAAAAAAAAGTATTTCATTTTATTCCTCTACATATAAAGCCAATTCAAATTGTCACTGGATGAGTAGGGTTGAAACCTTTCTGAGAGTATTGAGCACAATCTCACTACTGCATTCTTGAAACATCACATAAATTTTTGATTAAAAGTAATTCGCTCTAATTTTTAAAATAATCTACTTGTCAAGAGTGCATTGCTTTGCTGGCGTCTGTGATCAGCTGGAGATGGTGGTGAACGGCCTGGTTGCATTTCTTGGAAGATCTTTTATTCTGCTGCTCAACCCAGGTCTCTGCCTTCCTTAGAGACTGAGGATCATCCATCGGTTTCCCTGATTCAGGAAGAGCAGGGGAGTTGAATGGAGCACGGACTGAGAGAGTAGAAAGAGGGCACAGGGAGGAGCCCTGGGGACAGGGACAATGACGGGAGAGGAGGGGGGACACGGGAGATGGGAGAGAGAGGGAAGCTGTGAGAAGGAAAGGGAGAGACAGAGCTGGGTGCCCTTGGGGGAGCAGGGAACCCAGAGGAGGCTCTGAGCAGAGGGGAAGGCAAGGCCCGGGGGAGAGGGGAGGAGGGGAGGCCGATGGGGCACTGGGCAGAGGGAGGGAGCCCTCACCTGGAGAATGGCCTGCAGCCTCCCACTCAGGGCTTGGCTATGCTTATTTAGTCCCTTCCAGGGCTTGAAGCGGCATCCCTGGTGATCCACAAAGGTGTCCCAGCAGTGCCTAAACTCTGAAACAGGACAGGGGAGATAAGTCACGTTCTCCTGTGGGGAGGGGAAGGCACCGAGGGCCCTGACTCTCAGGACAGACTTCCACATGCTGTTTTCAGTCCCTCCTTCCCCTCTCCCTCCCCTAAGGACTTCCCTCCTTCATCAGACACTTCCTTCCCATTGGAATCTGAGCCAGCCCAGGTCTCATTCTTCTGGAAGCCCCAAGTCCTTCTTCCACTTCCAGCCACCCTCCCCTCCCTTCCCAAGCCTCCATCTCCTGGCCTGGCCTCTCTCTTCCCATAGACCCCAAAGTCAGGCCCAGTGTGCAGCTCTCGCCTCTGCAGGCAGCAGACCAAGGCCTCTCCCCCAGGGATGCCCGCCCTCCCCACTTTCTACTAACTCCCCAGGGCCCTCTCCTGCTCCGGCTGACCCCACCTCACTGCAGGCTTCCATTCTCACCGCTGTATTTCATCATGGAAATTGGGGCCCCAGCCCAGCCCAGCCTGCACAGCCCCTCCTCATATCCTGGGTGATAATCATAGATGCGGGCAGCGAAGATGCGCAGGTTCACGTGTGGGTTCTCTTGAAGGAATTCAGCCACCTTCCGGGCACAGCTGAAGCAGGGGCTCCAGGAGATAAAGCAGGTGACCCTGTAGCGCTGGGCCAGGTCCAGCTTCCAAAAGGAAATCAGGTCCAGGAGGCACAGTTCTGCATGGCGGGCTTCAGGGAAACCAGGATTATTTGAAGCCTAGAAAAGATAGCAAGGTGTGAGGCCATCTTTTGTGAGCAGGGAGGGACAGCCTGGA